TACAACTTGAATTAAAACCTAATGAATTAGGTGAATTTGGAAAATTATTAGCTGAATGGCAATCAAATCAATTAAATACTAAAACATTTGTTAAACAAACAGCTCGTTTATATGGTGAATCACGACGAAATCTTCTTGATGGTTTACATGACTTTTTACCGATTAATGAACAAACATGGTTTCTTGATTATTTAAATAATCTTAAATCAACACCATCATCATTATTTAGTAGTACGGAATCATTACAAGATGTTCAAACTTTATAATTATTTTTTTGTAAAATATAAATAAAATTGTATTCATAGTTCTTCTTCTTATTTGTTAATAAATGAACACGTGGTTAAAATCGTTATATTCATTTTTCTTTTTGAAAAAGACTAATTATTCTATCGAGAAGTATTTTCTGTTAGTATAATGATGACTAGTCAAGCATTTAGTCAAGGAATTCATTTGATTGAAAAATCGGATTTTAGTTTATTACGTTTATATATTGAACAGGAAGTATCAAATGCTAGTTTACAACAACTAGTTGAAATAATTCAACAGTCAAAAGATTCAGAGACATGTTTTTATCCATTTAATATTCCAGTTCGATTGGATAAATGTTATCAAATTTCGGGTAACAATTAATTTCATTTTTATAAAACATACATCAACTATATTTAGATTCATTTACTGAATTTATTATTCATCAACAAAGACGTGCAACAATTTTTGCTCAACAAGTAATAGATTTATTATTCTGTATATTTTCTTTTTAATCATTATTATAGATTATTTATAAGAATGTCAAAAGTCTTTGTAGTCATTCGAATCAAATTGCTGTGCGATTTATTTATGATAAATTACCACCACAACCTGAGTAAAATAGTTTATTTTTATTTGAAATTCTAATGAATATATAATTAAATATTAGATTTCGTGTGTTATTAAATACTTCACAAGCAGATTTATTATCTCGTACACATCCTGTTCGTCTTAGTGGTACTGTCATTGCATCAAGTGCTGTTTTGCCATACATGTATGTTGAATATTTATTATTATTCATGATTATATATTTGTTTATTAGACGTGGACTGAAGTATGTATGTCATAGTAACATGTGTCCTTTAAGTGATCGAAAACGTCAAAAATTTGTATTATTCGATAATGAACATCCACATAGTTGTAAAATTGGAGAGTATGTAAAACAAAAAAATTGATATTTAATTTCTAAAATCTATTTATAGAACTATTTTATGTGATGGTTGTGATTTAGTTCTTCATGAGGATATCAATAAACGATGGATTTCTGGTTTATATAAATAAATATATATTCATAAAATATCGATATTTATTTAGAAAAACTGATTATTTCTGTTAAAATAAAAGAACCAAAAGCATCGATACTTTCTTCAACATCGAATCTTGAATTGGATAGTTTATTATCTAATGCATATACTATCATCGTCCGTGGTAAATAAAACATTAATATTACATCTTGATAATTTTGATGTTTAGATGAATATGTTTCATCGATTCGTCTTGGTGGAAAATATAATTTTTTCTGTTATCCTATAAATGATTCTCATTCGCATAGAGTCATGTTTGAAGTATTACATTGTGAATTAATTCAACCATATCGTCTTTCATTACCTGATTCTATTCAACATTTACATTATAATTTTGCTCATCATCATTCATTTAGTTTTCTTAATATTTTATCAACACTTTTTTGTCGTAAATTTAATTTCATATTTCAATTTATTTACTTATTCTTCTCTAATTTTCATAGCACATATTCAATTAGCTAAATATTGTACACATGTTAAAATGGGTTTAATACTTAGTCTTGTTTCATCATCACTTCATATACTTATTATTGGTAATGAAAGTCGTGTGGCTGATATTCTCTGTCAAACAGCATTAAAATATGCTGAATATGGTGTTATACATCGACAACAATATCCACTTACACTTGCATCTATTCCTAAAAATAAACATCCATCATTTATTGTTTCTGGTAAAAAATTAATTTCATTCTCATATTTCTATATTATTTTTAATATAGCTGGTTCGATTGCGATTGGTGATGATGGAATTACTTATTTAGAAAGTATTGATAGTTTAAATAAAGTACAAATCAAACAACTTCATACTAGTAAGAAAACGAATTTTTTTGTATCAAGATATTTTATATTTTTAATGTTATAGCATTTGAAACAAAAACACTTAGTATTGAAGTGAATAAAACTGAAGAAGCATCAAAAATTGTGTATAGTGTACCATTTAATAGTAATATATGGGCGTATCATGATAGTCGTTTATGGTTAAATGCTGAACGATTAACAGAACCAACAAATGATTTATCACCAGCTTTAGCTGAGTAAATTTTCATTGAATTCAAAATATTTCATATATATATATATTCTCTTATTTTTAAGTGCATTTAGTTTAGTATTACCACTTAATGAAATTGAATATGAATATGGTAAAAATATATTTTTCTATTGTGTCTATTGATATTATACATATATAGAAGAAACAATTGAAGATTATTTGGATTCAAAATTAAATAGTGATAATGAACAAGAACTAATTGATCAACGAACAAGTCAATGGATTGATGATCTTCGTAGTGTAAATATAACTTGAATCAATAAATCTTATATTTTCTTTATAAAATCTAGTTTCTTGCCTATGTTCGAATGATAGAAATGCCATTGAGTTATGAAGCTGAATGTCTTTTAAAAAAATATTTTTGTGCATGTCGTCGAACAAAACGTACACTCTTTTCTTATACAGAACTTCCAGTTTCGACAACTGACGTCTTGTAAGTTATGAATGAATTATATAATTTATTAATTTTTAATTGAAAAATATAGAACACAAGTCTGTGAAGCAATAGCTAAATGTAATGCACATATCGAAGCTACGGATTCAGATATGATCTTAGCTATTTATTTATTTGAAATTTCAACTATGACTCGACTAGGTTGTGAAAATCTCGTTAATGAACGATATCGATCACCACCTGTTCTAACTGATCCACATTTAATTGATACTGTAAGGTTAAATATTTTTGCTTGGTTTAATTTATTTGATTTATTTTAGATTGAACAATCGATGGTTTTATTTTCTCGAGAACTTATGTTCTTCTGTGATGAATATACACCATCTTCGACTCAATATTCAACATACAATCAACAATCATCATTTATGTAAAACTTTACTCGATTAGTTCTATATTAGATTTAATTAATCAATAAAGAAAATACTATCCTATTTTCTAATAGAATTTATGACTATCTGTTATATCTATGTACTAGAAAAACGAACCGTCGTCTCTGAGAATGAGCATGCAGTAAGTCTCCATGAAAAAAATGTATTTTGTCATTATCTACCTATATGAAAAAGATGGTGACAAATTGTCTAACAATCCCTTGTTTTGTGGCTTTATGTAAATAAACGAATCGTATCGATAATGTGTCAATATTTATGCTAATAAATATATTATATATTTTCTAGTAATAATGATGAGAAAATAGATGATATATCATCAACAATAAAAAGTGAAAGAAATAATAAATTTTAATTCAATTCTGACAAATAATACAATAATATCGAACTTGAAACTTGAATTTAACTATAAATATGACACAAATGTAAATTAATCTGAAGAGTATAATTAGTATGCAAGTTATTTCACGTTCGATCGACAACTAATGAACGTATTCGAAACATATTACTCTTTTCCTCATTGCAATTCAGTAGTTTTTTAAGCTATTATTGTTCTCATATTTCATCTCTTCCTCATATCTATGCGGAAAACAAAAGGATCGTTAAACAAACATAGATGTGTCTCTAATGAAAAAGATCATTTGACATCATCCGAAGAAATAAATGGGTGTAGGTGATCGATGAAAGATCCACCCTCAAGTATACATCCAGAGTGAATAGAATACTGTTTCATACTCTCACTCGTCTCTTTTTGCTTTCAATAATATAAATTCTATTTTCTTTTTCATTTATTTATTTAGAAATAAGTAGTAGTGTTTTCCATCATATGTCTTATGTTTTTGACATGGACATTTCATTTGTTCTTTATCGAGTTTGCTACCCATTTTATAAAATGATGAGCATAAAAAAAACATAAAATACAATAATTAAACTGATCAAACTATTTGACAAGAAAAGACTTTGGTTGAAAAAAATTGATTTGCTTGAACATATTATTCATTTCTGATACACACTTGAAAATGATTATTCATACGTTATCATCACATGTGAATTCGCTCTCATTCGAAGACATGTGATTGGTACCAAAGAATGATTAATATTCTTCACATTTGTATTTATATTCACTCAGTTGTACAAATAATGATCCGTCTTTTATCAATTACGACTCTTTTTTAACAACCGCCGTATAATATCACTTTGAAACATCACTGAAACTCATATATTATGTGGTGAATGATTAAATAGTTTGATTACATATAAAATTTTATGATTCAGTTCAAAAAAGAAAATGTCATTATGTCTATATTGATTAATAAAGCTCAGCACTATTTTGATAAACACTACTGCTGCTGCTCCTTCCACCAGTAACTAATACTTTTCCATTTGCTAATATAGATGCTGTGTAATATGCTCGTGCAAAACTCATGTTTTCTGTAGTTGTCCAAGTGCTTGCTGATGGATTGTATAATTCAGCACTATTGAGGTAACCACTGCTACCCCGCCCACCAGCAACTAATACTAATCTATTTGCTGATACGGATGCTATGTGCGAATATCGTGCAGCATTCATGCTTCCTGTAGTTGTCCAAATGCCTGTTGATGGATTGTACAATTCAGCACTATTGAGAGAATCACTACTATTAAATCCACCAGCAACCAATACTAATCCATTTGCTAATATGGATGCTGTATGATATGCTCGTGCAAAACTCATGTTTCCCGTAGTTGTCCAAGTGCCTGCTAATGGATTGTACAATTCAGCACTATTAAGATAAGCACCGTTGTATCCACCAGCAACTAATACTGATCCATTTGCTAATATGGATGCTGTATGCTCATATCGTGCGATATTCATACTTCCTGTAGTTGTCCAAGTATTTGTTGATGGATTATACAATTCAGTACTGTTGAGAGAACCACCGCTGCTCAGTCCTCCAGCAACTAATACTAAGCCATTTGTTAATGTGGATGCTGTATGATATTGCCGTGCAGCATTCATGCTTCCTGTGGTTGTCCAAATGCCTGTCAATGGATTGTATAATTCAGTACTGTTGAGAGAACCACCGCTGCCCAGTCCTCCAGCAACTAATACTGACCCATTTGTTAATATGGATGCTGTATGCTGATATCGTGCAGCATTCATGCTTCCTGTAGTTGTCCAAGTGCCTGTTGATGGATTGTATAATTCAACACTATTAAGAGAAACACCGCTGCTTTGCCCACTAGCAACTAATACTAAGCCATTTGTTAATGTGGATGCTGTGTGATATTGCCGTGTAAAACTCATATTTCCTGTTGTTGTCCATCCTAAATAACATAGACAAATATTAATCCAGTCATATACATAAGTTGTTTATGTACTGTTTGCGAACTCAATCATATTGAGACGTTGATAAACTTCTCGTTGTTTTAATGAATAAAATAAGAATGCGGGTATAAATTTATCTTTGCTTTACGAACACCCACAGCCACAACCTCAAGATCGAGCGAATTATCATCTGAGATAACCATCGTTGAAACAACTACAAAACATCTAGTATATTACTAACCTGGTACTGCTGTTGTTGATGATGTTGTTGTTGTTGATGATGATGTTGTTGACGATGATGATGTGCTTGATGATGATGACGTTGTTGACGATGATGATGTGCTTGATGACGACGATGTGCTTGATGATGAGGATGTTGTTGTTGATGATGATGATGATGTGCTTGATGATGATGACAACGATGTTGTCGACGATGATGACGATGGTGATGTTGATGTGATTTGATCTATAATAGAAAAGTGAGATTAAAAAAGGGATACAATAATTGGGTAAAGCTTCGCCCAAAATTCTGTATGTTTCGTTCTACTAATAGTGTATCTGATTAAGAATGCATTTTGATAAACTTTACATAAGTTTAAATATTTTTACGAATCTTACGTTTTTATATGAGAAATACATTGAATATTTTTTATAGTATAATTTGTATGACAAAAATATATGCCATTCAAAAGCAAAACTATAATATTTTTACAATATTTATAATATACTTACTCAGTGCTATGTACATTGCTGATTGATTCATAAATATCAAAGAAGAATTCAGATTAAATTCAATTAAAACCGAACTGTCATTTGTATAAAATAATTGACAAGTTTGATTTATTGAAAAATAATTTAATGTTGATATTATTCCATTTGAAGTTATCATTTCGCATATACACTGACTTTGCGTTATATTCCATAATAATTTATATATATTACCAATTAATATATTATTATCTCTTTTACCGATAAGAATACAATCACCAGTAAAAAATATCAGTAAAACAAAAAATATCGAAAACATCTTTTGTGACTTGTTATTTTAAAATTGTTTTACAAATGTTTTAGTAACTAGCATTACTGTTTCTCTTTTATTCTTTATTTTCTCCAACTCTGTCGTTTAATATTTAATCATTACAAAAAAAAGTGCTGTAGGCTGTTTGTCAGGTTTCTGGGAAAAAATAACTAGTGATGCCTATTCCATATACATAACGAGTAGAATAGCAACAGGGAAAAATAATTTGACTAAATAAGAAGAAAAAAGAAACAGTTTTTTTTGTGTATATGTAATGACTTTTTAAAATTAAATTACCTTCAGAATACTCATTCAATATTATGAAGAAAAAAAAATAAAAAAATCTGATAATTAACGAATTGCTTTATCTAAACGTTCAGCCATCACATGTGTTTCTGCAATAGAATATTGTAGAAAATGGAATGTTTTTTTTTCTCAGTATTTCAAATGTACTTAGTCATCGGCGCTGCCATCAACAATAATTATATAAATTTGATCGAATATCATTCTTTCGACTTTGTTCAATTTTGTCAATCATATTAGATACTATTTTGAATTCATCTGAGGATGTCGGTGTGAGTGATATATCATTAAGAAATATCTCTAAGGACATGAGAATTATTATCTTGCTCACAATTAATTTCATCGTAAAATCAATTTCTACTATATTATACTATTCAAGAAGATAATGATAGAGGATCTTCTTAAAAAGAATTGATTTACAAATTAGAATGTAGAAGAAGTGGGAAAAGAAAATATGTTGTAGAGTTCACAGATCACTGTTAATCTTCGATAGCAACCTGTTCGAGGGTGTGAGGGTGTGGGTGTGGCTAAGGGTGTGGCTAGGGTGTGGGTGTGGCTGACTGATCAATATTGCACGCACACCCACACCCTCAACTACATTAGATCAACTTTGTATTCTTAAAAAACTGATATATCTGCTATTCCAAGATGTATTCAATACGATATATTAAACTAAGATATTTGTTTCCCAAGGTGTATGGGTGGATGTTTCTTCTCTTGCTACAATCACACTCGTCTTTTTTCGTACTTTTAAGAATATACATGTAGAAGAGTATAAGTGATGAATCTACATATATTTGTTTATTATTAAAGTAAATATTTATTAGATTAAAAGAATATAAAATGTTCATAATTAATAGAAATGTGATTTTTGAAAAGATGATGGTATGTTTTGAGGCATCTTATATTTAATTTTGAAAATTTTTTTGATAAAATATGTAAATTAAGAAAAATAATCAAACTAACAATTATCAAAGCATCATTATAAATATAAATAACAGAAATAAAACTATTTCTTTCAGATACATGACACATCGCCTACTTTCAATATTGAAAAATCATCGATATAATATTTATGATTAAGATTTGATTGTTTATAATCGAATATACAGTGAACATTAAACAAATAAAGAAAAAATATCTAAGAAGATATTCCTTCCTTTATAGTCGAAAGTGTCGATCAGATAAAGATGTTATATTCACATAAATAAGTCGTTGAATCACTGGTTTTCGTCCTTTTGCTCGTCGTTCTCGCCGAATTCGTTCAACTTCTCGATGTGTAAGATCAATACCAAAACAATATTTAAGAATATCCATAATAATTACAAATAATGCAACACATATCATTGCGACAATTGCAATATAAGCAAATGATTTCGATACAGCTTTATAAATAAAAAGTTTTTTCTCTGTCTTTTCACAATGCTGACCTGAAGTTCCGCTTAGACATTGACATATATAACCAAGTAGTACTGAACGACAAACACCTTCATTATAACATGTGATATTCAAACAATAATTGATTCTTCTTTCGCACCGTGCTCCTTCAAAGCCAGATGAACATGTACAATTAAATGTTGATTTTGATGTTATTTTACAAACACCTAAAAATAGAAAATATTCTCTCATTTTTTAATGATGAAAATATAAGTTCACCTTTATTTAAACAAGTATTTTCTTTACAAACACGTTCATCAAATTGACATTGTTTACCAGAAAAATCAAATGAGCATGAACAATTATAATCTTGGTTATCATTTATATTGATACATTTACCATTATTAAGACATTGATTTTGTATATCACAAATAGTACCAGGTATATTACAATTAAAACCAATATTTGTTGAATCTTCACATGAAGGTGCAACGAAATATGGCGGTGATAAATAACCTTAGAAATAGAAAACGAACGAAATTATTTTTAAAAATATGTCATACGTTTTACTTCAAAAGAACTGACTCTATTCATATAATGAAAAACGATATCATAGAATTGTTCTGTATCATACTTACTGTGTTGTGGCGTTTCGGACGCACGAGTTGTTGGTAATTCAGTAGTTACTAAAGTAGTTGTTGATAAATCAGTAGTTGATAAAGCGGTTGTTGGTAATTCAACAGTTAATAAAGTAGTTGTTGGTGATTCAGTAGTTAATAAAGCAGTTGTTGGTAATTCAGTAGTTACTAAAGCAGCTGCTGGTATTTCAGCAGTTAATAAAGCAGCTACTGGTAATTCAGTAGTTAGTGATGTAGTTGTTGGTAAATCAGTAGTTAATAAAGCAGCTGCTGGTAACTCAGTAGTTAATGAAGCAGTTGCTGGTACCTCACAAGTTA